AGCTCCAGGAGCTTTTCCAGAGCTACAACCTCAAGCTGGAGCAGACGTCTACGCTCAAGGCGCTCGCCGTGCTTATCGTGCTTACCGCCAGCCTTGCCCTGCTCGAGCTGCTCTCCGGCCCCAGCCTGAGCATCTCCAAGGGCTCGCACCCGGTGCACTGCATCATCTTCCTCTCCCTCTTCATCGTCACCAATGTCAAGTACCTGCAGGTCACGCAGCTTCAGCAGATCGTCAAGCTCACCTTGCTTTTCAGCTTCACCTTCTCCTTCCTCTGCTGCCCCTTCTCCCTTGGCGCTTACGGCATGCAGCCGCCCAGCGCCCCCGAACAGGGCATGTGGCAGCTCATGCTGGTTACCTTCGTCTCCTACTCGCTGCTGCCCGTGCGGACCCTGCTCGCCATCGTTTTCGGCCTTGTCGTCTCCGTTTCCCACCTCATTGTCACTGCCACGTCTGTCAATGCCAAGCGGCAGCGGCTCTGGAGGACGGTGAGTGCAGCTGGGCAGGCAGGGGGCGCGGGACCCCCTGGAAAAGTTGTCCCTGGGCCAGAGGTCGCGCGATGGCTCCGCGCAGGGGGGCGGCGCGGGGCGCGCCACGCTTGGGGGAACTTCCCCGCAGTTTAACCCCCAGATCTCCCCTGCGACACCTCCCTTGGCAGCAAAACTGTTCGGAAACGGGCTGCTGCACTGCCCCCCCGCTCACAGTCCGAGCGGCTATTTATAGCCTTGCAGGGCTTCCTCCAGCTCCTGGCGCCTCAGGGGGAGGATGTGTGTGCACGAATGGATGTGTATGTATGGGCATACTGTGCATGTGCTGCGCCGGGGCTGCTTGCTCCCAGCTGTATGGTGTGCTGCCTCCGAAGCGCTGGGAAAGCAGGATGGAAAATTGGTGTGAAGGCCTGGGCGAGAGTTAAATAATTATTTTGTGCATAATTGAGGTACTTGGTGTGTTACTTCTACCATATCCTCGTATCGTCTCCCCGGCTCCGCTGGGGCTGTGCTGCAATGCTGGGACATGTGTAGTCGGCGTGGGCATAAACATTGCTGTAAGCAGATGTGCATTTGTGCACCTCCCGGCCCACACGTGTACATTCCTTCACTCTCCCTACATGCATGTGCAGATATACACACACAGCGTATATGCCCATACTGGAGGTATGCCCCACCAAGGCAGTGGGGTTGCTGAGACATATGGGATTATGCTTGGCTTGTTGCTGTTGAGCTGGTGGACCAAATAAATTGTATATTTCAAATGGGAAGAGGGAGATAAGCTGAGCTTTATGATTTACCCAGATAATCTGATGGTCTATTTTTAAATGTGCGATTTAGAGATTCCATGGGAGAGAGCTGATGAAATGCAGGAGCACTGGCAGGAGCATCCAGAAGAATGCTAGAAATATGAGCATGTTTCCCCTTGAGTGGGTCTGTGAAGAGCCCTTTTCCCTGGCTTAGTCTGGAGGGAGGGGAACTCTGGACTGTCCTGGCTGCCTAGACACAGAGACAGCTTTTCTGTGATGGGGAATTACAGCTCAGGGTGGTGCCTGCTGCCCTAAGCAAACAACATATAGAAGCTGGCAATAATGTCTGCTCCCTAAATTATCTAACTGGGAGCTTGAATGGGAAATATTTTGAAGAGGAGGAAGATACTAACTTTTTTTTTTTCCTTCACGCTATTTTAACTTAACTATTCAAAAGGCAAGGAGCCAGCATAAGCATATTTAAATGCATAAACATATTTGACTAGAGGCTGATGTAGGTATGTAGGTGTAGACATGGAGGTGTTTTCTTTTTCATCACCCTCTTCTCCCACCCAAAGTAATTCCGGTAATTTGCATGCAGTCTCCCAAGCAGCAGGCTTGTGGGGTAACAGGAGGCAGAAATCAGCTCCAAGTCTAGACAAATAACTGGTCCGTGAACTTGCGCTTGCACAAAAATGCACATAGATTTGTCGCACATTTCAGATTTGAAGACTGACCCTGATTATAGAAGCGACCTGTTCTTTATACATATATTTTTTTCCAAACAGTGATTTCACAATGTCTGAAATTTTAAGCTCTGTAAAGGTCATACCATCTGAATTTTAATTGCCCACAACTTTCTCTGTCTCTCTCTCTCTCTCTCTCTTTTTTTTTTTCCTAAAGGCTAAAATAGAAGCTCTAGCTCAGCTAGCATGTGCTTTCCAGCCGCTGGATTTCATCATGACCCAGTCTGTCAGGGAGGCAGCACCGTTTAGCACAGAGCTGCCCAGTCATCCCTTGCTGGGCCCTTCTCCCCAGCCCCATCCCCCTCCCCGCAGGGGTGAGTCTCAGTCTTCAGAAACAGGTGTGCAGTCTCCAGAAATGCAGAAACGCCAGCAGCACAGAGACCATTGTTCTGCTAAAGAAGGCTCCAATTTGGAGGCAATGCAAATTGGTACACAGTTTGGATTTTCTTTGGCCTTAGCTTTAAAAAGCATGGAATAGTAAATGCCACTAAAGTTGAATGAGCCCTACAAATAGTCAGCAAGATTCAGTATTTCATGTTGCTTTATATTTAACTCATTAAGAGCAGACATAGCCAGGCTAAGGGGCTTATTCTGAAGTGGATTTTTGTGCACATCTTCTTTACCATGCCATACTAGGAACCGCTGAACTCAGCTCCTTGAAAGCCAGAAATCTCTCCGACTTCAATAGTGCTGAATCAGGCCCTTAGTGGGCCTCATGTTGTGCTTCAAATTTGCATTTATATAAATGCACAAACACTTCAGAGAGTTAAAATCAGTAGATCAGCTCATTGTAGGAAAAGTTTGTTATGAGGTTTATGTTGTAAAGCACACTTTATTTGTGATAGTTTTCTGGCAGCACAGCACTGTCTGTGGAGATCACAGGCTCCCTCCACCACGAGAGAGAGTTTCTCTTGCTGGAACTAAAACACAGAAATGCGGGAAAAAGGAGAGCAGAACGCAAGTGCATGGGGAAGACAGGAGAGCAGTGAATAGCATGGCAGAACTTGAGCTTTATCTCTCCGGGCAGTAGTTGGTTTTTGGACTAGAAGAAGATTCCCCTTAACTGAAATGTAATAAAATATAACATAAATTGACATGTAATAAAATGCAACTTATGTATGTAAAACCTAGAGTATTAATAATATAGAAAATAGTGGCTGGCAGACTTGTCCCTGTTTGTAGTAAGTTCATGGCAGAAGGTGTGTTGATTCCATGTCCATTTTTGCATGTCTTGATGATAAAGATGTAAATAATCTTTGTGATCAAATGCGTATTAGTCATGTTAGACAGACTCCCCTTCATTTCCTTCTGGAGTCATGGAATAAAATGCTCTTGCCAAATGTTGTCTTGGGCAAAAGCATGAGGAAGCCATCCATCGAAGGCAGAAGTTACAGAGGAAGATGCTCTAGCCTTTCTTTCCTTGTGGTGTCCAACTAATACTAGGTGCTTTGAAGCAGTTACAGAAACACAAACTCCTACTCCAAGGAGCTTAATCTAATTTTTGTTGTGATGCAGTGTGTGGGTGGTAAGAGACATTAAGGGTACAAGAGGTGAGGAAAGTGAAAGCTGCTCACAGAAATTCCTCAGTTGTGGCATGCACATGTTTTGGTGACTTACTGTTAAATTATTTTTTTAACCCTTTGCATATTTTTGTCCCTTTTTTTAAAGAAAAAATGCTTTTTACAAAAAAACAGAAGCAAATCTCATGTCTATTAAGTATTGATGCATGTCATATAAATTGTGGTGAAAGAGCAGAGATTCATGAGCACCCTGTTCACTCAGTTCTTTTAGAAAACAAAACGAGTGGAAGGAAAGGTGCCATGTTAAATTAGTGCTAAGATTTCAGCAAGTATGAATTGTGGTGAACTGGTAGAGTCTGAAATGTGTAACAAGAAGAAAGCTGATGGCTTAAGAGTTGGTTAAAATAAGGTATTTAATACTTACACTTTTATTTGTTAGCTTAATTCTTTGCAGGTCAGTGTGATAGTATTGTTATTGTTACACTGAGTTATTGTTACATTGCTGTATAGTTATTTTCTTCAGCTGGTGCTTAAAATGTAATTAATGAACACGTCACTGGAAGAACTGTTAATTTCTGCAGCTCTGTATCTCACACAGAAGGCAGAGTCTAGCAGCCTAATAAAAGGGTTGCAAATCAAAGAGAGCTCAGGTTTCTCTTTCAGTGTCTGTTAGAGTTCAGAGCAAATCTTAGTTTTTCTGCTCCAGATGTTTGAAATACTGCTGAGAGGCTGTATTAGCTGATTCTGTGTGGTGCTTCTCAAACCTCAATATTATGAGTATCTGTAAGTCTTGCAAATATGTATTTTTATCCAGTTAAATTTAGTGTTTGTATGTCTTAGGGGCACTGGTGAAGATTCTCAGTATCCATGTGTAACTGTAGCTTCGTATTGACATTTGGCCCACATTAAAAGATTGGTTAAACTTCATTTGTTTAATGTGTGGATGTCAAAAAAAGGATTTTAGTCTTAATTTATGCTTGCCAGGGATAGACCATGGTCTTTTCCTTAGGTACCAAAGGAGAGGAGTTTTGATGTAATGTAGAGCTCTCTATTTTTCCATGTAGAGATTAATGTGCTTTTGGATGCCTGAGCCTGCAGACTGCTGATTCTGCTATTGTCTGTGGCTCACTAACCAATATCAGCATGCTGATGGTCTTGCATGCTTGAGAGATGGGGAGCCTTTTGGGAAATGCGAGAATCAGACTCGGAGAAGTAGTAACAATTTATCAGATAAGTTTAGTTGTTTTTCTCTTGCTTAACAGGCTGAAGAGAATACTGCTTCCCTCCAATGTATCCACAAATTCAATTTTCAAATAATTAGATTTTTTTTTAGCAATTATTTGCAATGATTTGTTGCATAGCTTTTGCATGGATACCTGTGGCTAGTATATTTAGTATATAGTTTGCATTGCAGTAAAACCTGTGGGTCCCCACTGTGGCCTGTTAACTGGTCCAATGAGAAAATACATGCTGGAAGGGCACTCATCCCAGGCACTCATCATTTTATTGCAAGACACTTACTGAGCACAATAGGTGTAAGAAAAAAAAAACTCCTTTAGTACTGTGTGCCCAACTTGACAGACCTCAGAGTGTGTGGAAAAATCTCGCTGTCAAGAACTGAATGTCCAAAAAGGAGACAGAGGCGTCCTAAAACTTTATTCACATAAAGGGAGAGTCCACCGGGCATATTCCTGTGGGGTCTCTCAAATTGCTGGAGGATGCCCCCCCTTTACCCTAATTTCCCAGCCAAGGGATGTCCTCTCCTTTTCCCCATTGGCCAAGGTACTCAGAAGTTACAGCCTTCCCGGCCCGCCTATACCAAACTCCTGCCTCCTGCCATCTGTTCTCACCTAAGGTCACCTGACTCCTTCCTCCCCCTTGCTGAAGAATGTGGGGGAATACCCTTATTTCCCTTATTTGTAAAGGCCCCCAACTCTCAGCAGATAGCTCTTTTGTCCCACTCTTCATGGCTCTGCTCAGTCTCT